CAAGAACAATATTCAAGACGGAGCTCTAATCTGATTATCTGTGAGCTATGCGGCGTGCCGAGATTTGGGGATTTTTTTCTTCCTGGAGATGGGGTGGGGAGGTTGTATACCAGATTTCTTAGAAATTTTAGTTCCCCATAGTAAACCAGTTTCTGTGGGTAAGGTTGCCTGAACCCAACCCAACCCAACCTCAGCTCCACCCCCTTTCCATTCATTTAACAATCCATTTCTGGAAAGGGGAGAGGGCAGCATGCAGAGAATTGCGCAAGTGTTCTGGGTTGTGTTTAATATTCTTTCCCCCAATTTTCTTTTTGTGTGTAAGTGATTCACATAAAAGCAATCCAAGTAATGGGATTGTGCATCACCTTTTTTTGCACAGACGTTACAGAATAATGATCTGTGTTTAAAATCTCTGCTCTTATATGAGGTATAATATACGTTGGCAGGTCCCTGGCTGTCTGAAAGGTGACTATGAGGTCTGCTGTGTTGCAGGAGTGCAGTAAGGATTCTTCTCCTTACTGCTAAGACTGGAGTGACCCGAGAGCACCTCGAAAAGCCCAGTCAGGGGCGGAGGGCCTACTTACCTTTGTACCATCACATACAAAGGCTCTTGGTGAATTGCACCAGGTACAGTGTTTGCAGACAACCCCCACCTCCTGGTCACACCCACTCTACCCCCCCTTCCAGAACCCAGTTCAGGAGGCGCTGAGGAGAGTACAGAGTACAGAGCTCAGTGATGATCTGTTTCTCCTGCTCGCTCCAGCTGCTTTATAGAACACATTACTGCACGCAGCCAGGGAACTGTCTGCTGTATCTGTCAGTCTGCACCAAAGGCAGCAGGCAACTTGCAGACTGAGTGAACAGATAAGGTTAGATACTAAGCAATCATCTCACAGTCCGATGGCACTTCTAAGGCTTTTTTTTTCTCCTCTGAGCAAGCACAGGTCTTTTTAATCCGCTAAGATGGGCTACCACCGTTAATGCATTTTCAAAAGTGAGAAATGAATCTGATATCCTGCCCAGTGCTTCCTGGGATAGGCTCCGGCTCCCCCGGCCACCCTGTTTTGGATAAAGGGGTTTGAAAACGGATGGATCCTGCTCGGAGTTTCCAGGTGGCACCCCCTGAAGTGCGAACCGCCATCCCTGTTTTCCCAAAACGGGCTGTTCTGCTCCTTGCGAAGTAAAAAGAGTTTTCCCTGCCCCGTCAGCTTGTTTGCGGCTTCTTTGACTGAGTGTTACAGGCTTCGCGGCGCTTTGAGGTTTTCGCAGTAGCTCATGTTTCCTCATCCCGCCTTCCCGTGTCCCCCTGTTACCTAGAGACAGCGGTTGCACTTCTTGACTGTGCACAGCCAGTGAGCTCATCTCCAGCTCCACGGCTACCCGCGATGCCGCAGTTTTTGCGCGCCGTGGGCTGCGGGTTTCGACTCGGGGCCGCTTGCATCGATGGGGCTTTTGCTTTCAGCGTCACACGGTCACGCTGAGAAAAGGCCGTTAGTCAAGCTCGTTTGTGAGAACCGGAGTTCGATGATTTAAAAAAAACAACCCCAACAACTGAACAAAGCAGACCTGGAGGGAGAGCCACTAGAGTTCACCTCTGCGGCCGTATGACGTGATGCTCAAATGAAGAACTTAACTGTAAACTGAGGTACAGCGCTCCTCAAGAAGATGGCTCTCCTCAATGCACTAGAGAAATTTCTCTCTAAGGACTTGCATGTTAGTGGGATAAATACCAGCTCCCTGCAGTACTTGCCTGCATGATGCACAAGGCCCGGCTGCTTTGTGCATGAAGTATTTGTCATTGCTCCTCACTGTTCTTGGTGTTGTGTGGCACAAACACATCTGTATCAGGGCAGGACTCTAAATAAATAAAGTTGCCTGTCTTAAATTTCTCTATAGTATGCAATACATGAAGAGGTTGTTATTATGTGGTTGTTTATTATTTGGTTATTAGTTAAGTGGTTGTTAATACTGCTTTTGTTAAAACTGTGCAATGAAGCAGTGGCAATGATGTTTTTTTGCACATGCTTGTTCTAGTCATTTGCACTCACCCCACCCAGATCTGAATTGATATCGGAAGGAAAGTCCCTTATTTCCTGTCCTCCATCCACTACAGGGTAGGAGAGCCAAGCATTCCCAGAGCACTGCTGAAATTAGACCGAGGCCTCTCATTAAGTGGCGCAGAAGAATGCAGTGAGGACGGGACCTCTGAAGGGTCTGGATGGCCTCGAGCCCTTGGTTAGCGATCTGCGTCACTGAACTGTTGAACTGACGGTTTGGAAAGAACAGTCCCAGCGGGCAAAGTCTGTCAGGCCTGGCTGCTCTCTGCACTGACCCCCTGTGCGTCATCACGCTGAGCAGCCATTGAAGGCAGGGGTGTGGGGCAGCACAGAGTGTCCTCAGCAGAGGCTGCCAAGCAGAGCGCTTTAGGTGCTTAACCACGCTCCTCCTTTAGAGAGTGGAGATTCCTCCGTGTGTGACCGGCACCGGTGAGTCCCAAATTCGGCTCTTGAAACCAGACTGCAGTTCACCTGCTCCCTTCACCCCTGAGGTTGTGTATCAACCAGCAAGATCTACTTAACACTCTTTAAAAGTGTTAAGAGTAGCACTCGACCCGCCGCATTGTTCTAACATTTTTTTTTTAGAGGAGATATTTGCTCAGCTATTTTTTTTTTAATTGCAAGGCTAGGCTAGCTCCACAAAGAGGAACAAAGGGACTGACGTGGTGTATTGCGATCAGGCAGTTTACAAAAGGTTTCGGATGAAAGCACAGAAAACAAAGGAAAAAGGGGGGACATCTGCGTATCACTGCGGTGCTCTGGCTTTGAGTTTTGGCCCCGGCTGTAAAACAAAGGGGTGACTGGGGGGTGGTGGTCCCTGGTCAGTGCAGAGCGGTCCTCTTGTCTCCTAGCCTCGCGCTGAACTTTGCAGCTCCCGGGCAGCCGATGATGTCACAATGGCCTGCCTTCAGCAGCAGTGTTCCAGTGACACTCGGTTGCCATGCCAGCCACGCAGACGCCCCCCTGAGAACAGGCTGCAGCTCGCGGTTCTTCTTCGAATAATCAGGGCTATTTTTAGAGAGCGCCGTTTGCTTGAGGGGAAAGTGGAGAACAAAAAAAGAGCAGGATCCCTGGCAGCTCGTGTTAAGATGTGTTTTATTGTCCTGCCTCCCGTTTACAACTTAGAAGTTGAAATGCAGTTAAAATAAAAAGCCGTTTAGGCTGGGCATAAGTGTATCTGCGTGCTGAAGGCAGCCCTGGAAATTGGGCTTTTGGCAGAGGAATGAAAAGAACCTGTCTGTCTTCTTGGGTGTTGTGTAACTGCAGCTTATTTCTTTTTTTTAGTATTGTACAGATGGCTGAGTGTGTGAAGGTGTAGATGGAAGGTGGCAGTAATTCAGAGACAAATAACAGCTCAAAAACATGTCTCTGGTTTCTGAGATTCAGGCTTCAGTGAGCTTGTAAAAAAAAAATGTGTTTTGAGACAAAAGAGGCTTTTGCATTGTCGGGTATTTTTGTTTCTATTACTAGTTTTACCGCTAATATGCAGTAGTATAGGATAGAGAGATGTCGGCACCCTCCGCCCCCTGGCTGGCCTTAACAAGCACTTTGATGTCTCCTTCTTCAATGCAGAGTAGTAGGAGAACATGAAATGTGTCTTTATTTCTCATTCCTTGGTTCTGCTGTCATTGTGTAGGTGAGAATTATAGGACCCATTAAAAGCAATTAACTTGGTATTTTGCATAGAAATTGCTCTGCTGCCGTGCCCTGGGAGTGTTGATGCAGGGATGGAATTGTTTTTCAGGACGGAAAGGGCCGCCGCGTTGAGCATTCCTCAGTCATATTAATGTGGGGTGAGCCGTAGGGTGGTTTCTCCGTGGGGCTCACGGCTCACCTGCGGTCCCCCCTCAACTCTGTCACTGCAGTGGGCTCTGTGGCTCATCTGCTCCTGCCCCACGGTCTCCGCTCCTGCGGCAGTCCGTCGGCTCGCCCATGTGACTCGTCGCCCTTCAAAGCCCCCGTCTCTGAGAGGCTGTGCGTTCACACGCAGGAGTTCAGCTCCGGTGGGGGGCTGGGGGCTGGGGGGGTTTCCTCTGCCGACTGAATTCAAAGTCAGGGGAAGTTAAAATGTTGCTTTTTCTGGTAGGAAGAATTTGCATTGGCCAGAAAAGCGTGCTAAGAATGCTGTAGCTTGCATTCTTGAAGAGGTGAGCGCTTGACGTGAGGGCGAGAGGGCAAGACGGCAGTGGCTCATGGACCACGGTATCCCAGCAGCCATTACTCGCTTCTGCCCCAGCTCCTTGTAGCCTGGTCGGGCCAGATCTGGGCGATAAATGTGGTTTCTGCTGTGAGTGGTTGACCAGTAAGGGACACTCTTCCCTCCAGATCAGACTTTCCCACCAGTCCCCCAGTATGGCTGCCAGAAACACTGCCATCCTTCTGAGGAGAAGTTGAGCAGAAGTCCTTGCTGCTTGGTCATTAAAGATCCCTTTGCACTGTTTGTAAGAGTACGGGGGTTAACCTGGGCTTGTGCTGACTGGCCTCCTTAAAACATCCCTTTAGTGCAACTGGTGAAACAATGTCTCACTTCATCACTGTAGAACATGGATTTTTGTTAATCTTGGGGTCAGTGTCAAACTTGGGGTCTGTATGCTGACAAACCACCTGGTCTGTCCTTTTAAATGTTATCTATATGACATTTAGTCAATAGACCATTCATTGCTGATGGTAATTTTTTAACACAAAGCTTCGCATTTCTTGTTTAACTGGTCTTAATATTGTGCAACTCCTCTTATGCTAGATATGAAGCCTTTTCTAGTTGACATAAGCACCTTTTATTGCTTTGTTGTTAAATTTAACTTTTCTCTACATGAATGATACCAATATTACCTGCATGGTCTCCATCCCTACCTGAAGCTCTTGGGTATCTTAAGTGCAACATCCTTAAGTTTCCAAATGTTGCCATGAAAAGCTGACCCTGTTATCCTTTGTCTCCCCCTGCAGGTAAAGCTGGTGAAGTACATTTGCAAGCAACTGCTGTGCAAGCAAAAAGTGCCTGCGAGTGAAAGGTCCCAAGCTCTGGACAGCTACCCACGGCTCAGGGACTGGCTGAGAACCATCAACCTGCGTTCTGAAGTCATACAGGTGTGTGTGTTGGGGGGGGCTGCTGGAGGCATGTGGGCTCATGTAGACGTCTCCACTCTTGTGCAAGTACACTCAGGTGGACTCAGGTGGTAGTGCTTCTCCTGACCCCTGTACATCGTGCCTGATCCCTTCCAAGGGGGGAGAAAGCTTAGCAGGTGTTTTGGAGGCTCAGATCTCTCGTGACTGAAGAACCCATAGAAACGTCCACTTTCTGGTTGCCCCGGGGATGAAAGGGTCATTTTGAAAACTGAGAGAAAAGAACGCTGGAGGTGTAAGACGCCAGCAGCCATGTCACCCTGCAACTCACAATTGGCAGTCCGCTGAAGCCCAGCAGGTGTGAGCCCAGTCAGTACCTGGATGGGAGACCTCCTGGGGGAAAACTAAGGTTGCTGCTGGAAGAGGTGTTAGTGGGGCCAGTAGGGGGTGCCTGACCTGTGGTCTGTGTGGGTCCTAATGCCCCAGTATAGTGACAGGGACATTATGCTATAAAAAGGTGCCGTCCTTTGGATGAGATGCAAAACAAAGGTCCTGAATTTCTGTGGTCATTAAAAATCTAAGGGCGTTTCTTGAAAAGAGTAGGGGTGTAGTCCCCGGCGTCCTAGACAAATTGCCCATTGACCTTTACCAATCATGGCCTCCTAATAATCCCCATCTCTGAACTGGCTTCATCACTCTCCTCCCCACTGAGAGGTGCTGTCTGGGCCGTGTACTGGTGCACTATGGCTGCTGTTGCATCATTCAGGTGGGGGCTGCACACTGGTGGTGGAGGGGAGTCTTCATTACATTTAAAGGGCTTTGAGGGGAGTGTCCAGAATATAAGTGTCTGGAATTATTATTATAAGAAAGGAAAAACAGAATCGGCTCTAAAAAAAAGAAAAAAGAAGCGAGTGTAAAAGGGAGTTGGGAGTGTTTTGCGTGATGGTGACAGATGGGGGAATCGATTGCTTATGTCTGTTTGCTTTCAGTGCAAAACAGGAAGCGGCTGTTTGAATTTCCTGTGGTCAAATGAATGGGCTGCTCAGTGTGGGTCACAAACACTTCTGCTGTGTCTGAAATAGGATGCGTTCATACCATTAATGGACAAGGGCAGGCAGTGGTGAAGAACTTAAAACGTGGGCTACTCAGTGCTTGTCCTCAGGGTTTTCTGTTTCTGTTTTGGCAACATCCATTTTCCATTTGCATCAATCATCCTCTTGTTTGTGTCTTTTCCGCAGTCTTTGGCTCTCAGGACGTTCCAGATTTTAAGTGAGGTGTCTTGAAAAGTGAGGCGAGGTAGAAGTTTAAAAGACAAATCCTAAGATCACCCAACTGTTCAGGACCGTAAAAGAACGAAAGGACTTTAAACAAGCAAAACAAACACTTTGCTTATGTAATGCAGATCCCAGCTGGAGTGCAAAACAGAAAATACTGGGATAATGTGAGGAACAGTCCTGGGACATGTCACATAGTATACGGAAGAAGAAAAAAATATTTTTTTGCTTCTGTGTAAAATCAGTCATTGTTTTTTTCCCCGTTTTTAAAGGGGCTCTCTCAGAATGCAGACTGAGCCCTGTGTGCTCAGATGTTGCAAGTTGGGACCTGTGTCACGTCACTGGCAGACTGTGATCCCCCCCAACCAGCAGAGCACGGGGGGAGTTATTCATCAAAATGGCATTTGGCAAAACGAGGACTCCTTGCCTGGCGCTGGCAGCCATGGAAGAGTGTGCCAATCCTCTAACGTGTCCCAGTCTGTGTTAAGACTCCTGTAAGTCACGTTGGACACTCACTCAAACTGGCATGTGGCAGAGCAGGTCTGCCCGTCCTCATTCTTCCCACAGAGTTTGTTCCTGCTAGGCTGTCTCTGCATTACTTGGCAAAGGCAAACTGGCAGGATATGTAATCAGAACAAAAACGGTAACTGCAAATTAAAACCAAAAATCCAGCGTGATTTGCCTCTTGCAAGATTTGGCAGCGGGCTTTCAACAGTTGCCGTCAGAAACGGCGGTGCAAATTTTGCTGTGGAGCAGAACGGAGAGATGTTATCATGAAGATCATAGGATCCTCCTTTCTCTAGAGCACTCAGGCTGGTTTACCTGCTGTGTTACAGGGGAAGGTCTTGCCCTGGGGTTGTATTATTGGCACTGAACTGCAGGGAATACAGTCATCAGTACAGGCAGTAATCAGTGAAACAGTACAGACAGTTTCAGGGAAACAAAGCATATTCCCACTCCAGGAAATGGTTTACTGGAAAGTTATGTTTGTCTTGGTTAAAAGCACAATTACGATATGAATCATGGGATGTGTCCAGAAAGAGAACTTTGCAAACCAGAGATTAAAATGAGGGATGTGACAGGATTAGTGACTCTGATGATCTGAGACACCGAAGAGGACTAGGACTTGAGTAATCTTTGAAATAAATGAATGTGAAATTGAAGGTGGAATGAAAATGAATGTATATGACTGTTCTCGCCGTATTGATTATGTAGCCATCATTTCTATCACATTTCCAACATTGTGACTGCATCAGAAAGTCCTTATCCTGGTGTGACTCGCCTCACCCCCCTTTCGCATAGACAGTCTCGGAGACAGGCATTCTTTGCTGACTCAGCAGCTCCGGGCTCCCTGCCAGACCTGCAGAGAGAGGCACAGATAGGCCTCTCTCCAGAATAGCAGGCCAGCTGTTCACTGTAGGGGGCTGCAGGGCTTGTGAGATCTGGGGGGGGGTTTAACCCTCTGTCTCTGCTTCAGCCAGGACTGCAAAATCCAGCGTTGGGTAAGCAGTAGAAATCTAGGTGAGTAAGGCTAGAAACAGCAGTTTTGTCTTTCATACATTTAGGCTGTGTGCTCTATTTTGTTTTGTTTGCTGCACAAAGTATCTGCCGGCGCGGTTTTGTCAGGGCAATCAGGGGGAGAGCAGCGGTGCAGGAGAGGATTAAACTGGGAGTCAGTGAAGTGGAAGTCTCAGTCCCTGGCGGGGTTGCCTTGGACTCCTCTCTGGGTTATGCCGAGTTGTGTAATGATTTCTGAAAGCTGGGTGTCTGTGGTCTCGGGCCATTCTTTCTGAGTCTTATGGCATCCCTCAGGGGTGACAGCACTGGTGCAAAGAGAGGTTTTTTGCTTCTGCTGCTGTGCTTATATAAATAATTATACCGCATAAGCTGCCTTGTCATCTTCCCTTTGGCTGGTTCTGTACCGTGACCAATCCAATGACGTTTGCCTGGGAGCAGTGAGTCACACTGAGATCATGCCCTGCCAGTACCCCCCCTGTGCACTTGGAGAAAGCGAACACCCCACCTCCTCAGCTCTCCCCGCTGTCCTGTGCCTGCCCCCGCCCTGCCCCTCGCTCCCGATTTTGCGCCTGCCGACCTGATCTAGCAGCAGTGGCGTGCATTGTGTTCTGGGTGCCCTCCAGACCACCGGAGACCGCACCACTGGCGAACGTGAGCAGCGCCACTGCAGAATGTGCTGACTCGGGAGCCTCGCTGTCCTCCTCCCAACCCCGGGGGGCCTGAGCGCCGCCGCCGCCCCCGTGATCAGCTGCCGAGGGAGCAGAGGAGGCCGGCTCTCCCAGGCGTGAGGTCTTCTGCCTGGGCTGGGCTGCACCAGGAGGGGGAGAGGGGCTCCGATACCGGTGACAGAGGGGAGATTTCTGACGAGGAGACCTCCCAGGTCTGGCGAGTGTGTGAGAGGTACAACACCACCTGCAGCTTGTGCTTCCCCCAGGGACGGCGCTGGCGCGGAGCTAAGCCTCGTGTGTCCCCACGTCTGTGTCTCATGAGAAAGCACGGACCTCAGCTCCCCTCTGCCTGTTTAGGAGCTTGCTGGCTTTGACATACAAAATCAATTGGTTTTACAATGTTTGATTCTGAACCATGCTGGGCAGTGCGACAGCCTTCTTTTAAGTTCCTGGGAAAACCCGGAAATAGTTATTTTCTTTTTCTCTACATGACTAAAATGGAGCTGTTCTTTCTTTGTAGTAGTCTTAAGAGAGGGAATTTAAAAACAAAAGCTTCCTGAATGAGAAGCCTTGATGGCTTCTGTCTGCTCCCCCTTCTTTTTAAAAATAAAAATTCTGGAACAGAGATGGCGCAGGCTGCTGGCCAGACAGTGAGGCGTCTCATGCAGTCAGCCAGCTTCTTTAAGGTGGGTCAGAGGGGGCCGATGAGCACGGCCAGGGGAAATTCGACAGAACCCAGCAGCTGCGAACCTAAAAAAAACAAACTGTCAAACCAAGAAAAAATCCCATGACAGATCTTGATGCTTCTTTAAACCACTTCCTGGCCTGTCTGTCTCGCAATCATACATGGCACACAATGTCCTTGGTATGTTATGCATTATTATATCATTGTCTTTTTCACACTGGCATCATCAGAAGTCTAATTTGTGGTAAGCTGGCAGCCTAGAGCCTAATTCAGAAACACAGAGAGCAAAGAAGGGCATACTCCTGGCAGGGATGCCACATGATTGCTGGGCCTGCACATACACACTACAACAGTACAGTGTTGCAAGTTAGTGTCTTAGTTGGCAAGTTTGAGGGAGGCTGCGAAAAGCTGGAGTGTCCAGTAAAAACCCACAAAAAAATCTGCAGGGAATGGAACCCAGGACCCAAGAGCTGTGAGGATCCAGTGCTACCTGGTTGCGTTTCATTCTCACCTGGTCTTTGTTAGATCAGCAAGGCAGACATGTTTAATTACACTGCACGCTGTTCTTCCACGAGATGAAAACAAAATTGCTGAGACAGTCAAGGGAAAGAATGCCAGCTTTTTTCTTTTGTACTGTATAATATCCCACTTCACAGAAACAACTCACTGAGCTGTATGAGCAATGTATGAGTTTGTGTATGACTACTGATGCATTTAAAGGGGTTGAACAGGTTGGACTGCAGTCTAATCCCTGATGACACACAGCTTCTCTGCTCAGAGGTGTACGGTTTAGGTTACCCACACCTACAGCAGGTTTAGAGTTGTTTCATCCTGATGTGTTCAGGCAGAAATGCTGCTGTGGTGAAAATGTAGCGTGAC